ACCAGCTGCAGCCACAGCTCCAGCCGGATTTCCAAGTCCTTCTCTGTTATCATTGGGAAACATCAATGTCAGCGGATTCCCCAAACTAGAGAAGGGACCATTGCCTATTTTTACACAATAAATATAATAGTTAATTGTTGAACTAGAGTAACTCCCGTCAGAATGGTGAGCTAATTCCTAATGCGTCTGTATGACATTGACAGATCTCAGATAATATATAGCACTGCAGGGATGCTTTAGCGCATTACTGATTTTCTTCTTAACACTACTCGTATAGACATCAACATTTGTAGATGTGGTGCTAATAAACAGAGGATATACACAGAAAGAGGATATACAAACTATGTGTCTTACATCCGGTCCCATCCCTTCCTTGTATGAAAAGGTTGGAAGCAAAACAGAACTATAATTTAAAATCCAGCACAAACTCTTATCTAATCCTCTTTATTCACACCTAAAGTGTACTCTTATGTGTTTTATTTCTGTGTTTATAGTTAGTACACCCAGTTACCATGTCAAACTTATGTATAAGTTCCTTAAATGCGAAGAAGCCAGCTGAAAACCAGCGCTGGAAAGGCTTAGTCCTTCTGCATGCTGAGCTGGCTACCTTTTACCACAATTTTATATATTGTCTTTAAAATAAGTCCATTTATTTAATTTCTTTTTAGTAGCAATAAATACATCTTCTATTCTACAATATTATACCTTTAGCTAAGTTCTCCCGCAGACGCTCAGCGTACGGTTGCGGCGGCAGGGCGTGGCGCATGACGGCGTACCAACGCATGCGGAGCCGCCGTGAACTCCCATTCTTACTAACTGCTAACTCCACCGCATCTATTGCATCTTTCTCTCCGCCGTAGGATTCCTGTATAGATAAAAATCATGATTACAATATTAAATCAATTCTAGTGACAAAACCTGCTTCTTATAAACAGATAGTCAGGCTCTGATCACAAAAGATAGGCATGAAAAACAAAATATCCTATAATTTGACTATTCAAGAAGCATGTTTTATTTGTGATAAAAATCTGCTCTGCTCTAATTAACAGATCAATCGCTGCATCTTCCTCTCTTTTCTAAGTTTAAATATTCAATCTAATTGTATCTAGATAAATCTTTAAGTTACTGTGATTATTACCATGAAGTCAATATATTTTTCCCAGAGTTCAACATCTTGAGGCGACCCCTCCAGTACTCTGCGCATGGCAGCAGCACGCTCTTGCACCGCGCTCGAATCCTCAGTGTCTGGTACACGCTGCCGGAAGTAGCGGCGCGGACGAGATCGTTGGGGCCTGTCGTCCTCTGGCTCGCCCAGCCGGCCTGAGCTGCGCTCATATCTAACAAAGTGTACATCTTTATGACATAAACAAATACTAATAATGACCTATTTTAGCCTCTTTCCCTTCCCATCCTTTTCAAGACACCCAGGAACAGAGAATATACTTTTTCTTGCATCCCCTCCATACAATAATGGTAGGCATTAGCAACTGTGGATGTCTTTAGACAGCATTTGGAATTCAGATGGCCACTTGCTTGTTTGCCACCTTGGGATATAAAACAGAATCTATTAAAGCCCAGCTTACTGTGGTCTGCCAGGATAGTAAAGAGTTGAAACGCGACGATTGCCATTATCCATTTTGCAATCTACATAATAGTCGTCGTTTTTCGCTGGTTCCTTCTCCATTTCCGGCGAAGTGTCCATTTCTTCGTCCGTGTCGCTCGCCAAAAGTTCGTCTTCCAAGACATCATCACTCTTTAATGGCCAACGAGCTAAGAAAGTACAAAATTTTATTATTTTCCCAAAAACACAACCGAGAAATGTTTTGTTATGATTTGCACCCGGTGATTTTATTTGTAAATTCGTGTTTACACACCTGCGTCGTCATCGCCCTCATCCAAAGACCTGGCAGAATATGCCGGAAAAAGAGCCATTATTACAGATATCGACTTCGTCTTAAAATATTGCGGGAAACATAATACATGAAATTCCAAAACAGCTGAGCCGGGTTATAGAAATCACAAATGACAATGTCGTGTCATTGATAACAAAATCAATATTTTGTAAAAAAAAAAATAGTTTACAGATACAAAAAGGTTGCTCATTCGGTTTTAATTGTATTTTAATGCTAAGTTTTTTGCATATGAATTGTAGCTCTTGTTAATTGCATGGATGTTTAACAATCATTTACCAAAGCCATTATTCGAATTGATATTGATACCATTGTTCGGATTTCGATGCAACATACATGATAAGAATTTTGACATTGACAGCTTGACAGCACGATGTTTACGAAATTGGCCATGTTTACACTTTGACTCCACTTGAACTTCGTATAATTTATGTTCACTTAGTTTATATAAGATAATTAGGACAAGTAATTCTTATCGTTTTTTCTATTTGCTTTACATAACTTGTTGTGATAAACTACAAACGTTGCAAGATATTCATGTGAAATCTATATTTCTTTACTTCAAGGGTAAATACCGATTTCAGATAACGAAACCGCTTTAGTCGTACATAGAAAGCGAATTATTAGGTTTATTACAAATTAACTGCATATTTAAACCCAAATTAAACCATGAAAGGTTACTCGCACAGATTTTTAACCTTACTGCGCGCCACAACATTAAATTCTGATGCAAAAGTACGTCTGGCGAGGCCCATATTCTGCAATGAGTCGAGATATTATAGTGATGTAAGTATAAAATGATTTAGACGATATATTTCAATGTATTGGATGCACTCGGCCATGTTTGCTTATGCCGTATATAATTGCAGGTCGCCAATGCTGCTAGTAAAACGGATTTGACCTCGGCGGCGGTAAAATCGGCGGCACCGCTAAACGATCTTCTAGGCCGGCGTCACGATTACCTGCGTGTATCACTTACGGAAAGGTGTAATTTAAGATGTGGGTAACAATTAGCTTCTCTAGTAAATGTAATAAATTTACATTTTTCTAGAAATCTAATTGAAGTAATTTTCTAGCATCATCCGAACATTTTCCTGGTACTTATCAAAGCTGGTTATAGCTAGACTGATAAGAAAATAAATCTTTGTATAGGTCAATACTGTATGCCCGCTGAAGGAGTGCCGCTAACTCCAAAACCAGATTTATTAACGAAGGAAGAGCTCTACCGTTTGGTTAATGTGTTTGCATCTCTCGGAGTGCACAAGATACGACTTACAGGGGGTGAACCAACCCTACGATCTGATTTGGCTGAAATTATTGGTATGTGTTAACATTATAAAATTAGATTTATTTTTTATTATTTATTTGTTAGGGAAATTGCAATCTTGATATAAAAAAGAAAATTAAAACCTTATTTTAATCTGCTTGTTTATTAAGGTATTACAGAACAGCCATATACAAAATTAAAATTAATCAGAACAAGTAACTATAGGAGGTTTAATTTCAACCTTAAATATTGTAATTATAAATTGTAAAAATTGCATTAAAATGTATTTAATCTTTATGTAATGTAAAATGCAACAGATAAAAAATAAGATATAAGTCAATAGACATAAAGATAATGCAAATAACCTACAGATTAGATAAATAACAGTGTTAAAGTACTGAAAATGTATATAAACGTTTCACCTTTCGTTATTAACTGTTTCAATTTATGACCACAGAGCAGCTATGCAATGTCCCGGGCATTCGCAGCGTGGCAATGACTACCAATGGGCTGGTGTTAACACGGCGGTTGCCAGCATACCAGCGTGCTGGCTTATCAGCTATAAATGTATCTCTTGACACCCTGAAGCCGGACAGATATGAGCAGATGGCTAGACGACCGGTTCGCAAATATTATTATTTTATAGTATGACTGTCAATAATTAGTTACTTGTATTTGTCAATTACTTGTTATAGTTATTATATTTTTAAAATTCAAATATTTTCTCGTTAAATTGTCCCTATTTTCATCTATTTTTCAAAGAGACCAAATATGTTGACGAATACGTTTACATACATATTTCTATAAGGGAAACTTTTTTGACAGGGTCTGAAGAAGGTGCTGGCAGGTATAGACTTGGCTCTGCAGCTTGGCTACCGGCCAGTCAAAGTTAACACGGTGCTCATGCGAGGTCTGTTTAATTTGTTATACTGTGGATATTATTTTTATATTTATTGACTATGTGTTTGTTTGCAGGCTTCAATGATGATGAGATATGTGATTTTGTGGAGTTCACACGTGATAGGGAGGTGGAAGTGAGGTTAGTGATAATTTGAGACTTTTGTTAGGATTGTACATTTGTTTTTAATGTAATAAAATTATAAACAACAAGCTTCGCCTGCGACTCAGTTCGCGCGGAATTAAAAAATTAATTTAATATGTATCCTATTTGTTCTTCCAGACTATGGTCTACATTTGTTCCAAGTTTAATTAAAATCCTTTCAGCAGGTTATGCTATGAACTATAATAAACATCCATCCATCCAATCTAGCCTATTTATAATATTAGTAAGAAGTAAGATGGTATGTTACTAGTTTTGAAAAGCAGGAAAAGGGAAAGACAGGACAATTTAATTTTACTATCCAATTACTTCATATATAATTGCAAATGTTTACATGGTACATATGTAGAACATAGTCTAGAAGAACACATACTTACTAAGTTAATTTTTAAATACTGGGCAAGGTGGTGTGGGATAAGTCTAGTTAAAAAATATTAAGAATTTGCTCACTCTGTAATTTCTATTATCTATACACTGGTGATAGAAGGTAATTTATATGTATATAGAAGTGTGTGGCCCACATTGGTGATGTCAGGTTCATAGAGTTCATGCCGTTCTCCGGCAACCGCTGGGACGACAGCCACATGGTGTCGGAGGCGGCGGCGCTGCGGGCCGTGCGCCGCGCCTTCCCGCGCCTCGCGCCCTCGCTGCCGCGCGCCTGCGACACCGCCACGGTACACGCCATACACGCCATACACGCCATACACGCCATACACGCCATACACGCCATACTCTCTGATAGAGGTTATCGAGGTTCGGCCCTCTCGGGCGCCCTTGATTCGGAATGCTAAATGCGTATTGAGTGACAGCCCAAGCAGAGGTCCCCTCTCGGGGGCCCTTGTGCCTAGTCACTCCATGGAGCGACCACCGAAGCAATCTAAGAGCTTGATGGCCTCCCAATCAGGTAATAATAACGAAGTAACGGCTCGCGCCGAGGCTCCTGAGGAGGCCCTCGAGCTTAGTTACTCATAAACGAGGTTTAGTCTAAGCGCCATCTGCACTCGGCCACCTCAAGCCCGGTGAATCTGTAAAGGCCTCTTTAAGGCAAATAGTGGCCATTCAGTCACAAAAAAAGATAGAAGTTTCATAATTATTTCTTTTAGAGGATTTAGGGGCTAAATACGTCAGAAACGGTTTGTGACTAGTTTGTTAAGGTTTTTATTTTTGTTACTTGTTCCCAACTAAAAATGTTGGAAATAGACGATGTCTCTCGTGTAGAGGTTTTTGATCTCGTTTATAGACATTTTAAGAACAAAGAACGTCAGTAGGGACTATAACCAGCTCATTGGGGTTTCGTAATCTCACATGGAGAGAATTTAGATGTTAAAAACGTCGGAAATGAACATTGCTTTACTCATAAAGGTTTCTTGCCTATCTATTTTCGATAGTATACTTTTTACATATTTTTATATAATAGAATTTGTCTTGTGTCTTTTACTTTCATTAAGTGTAATATTGTGGTGTTAGGTGTGGCAGGTGGAGGGTCACGCTGGCCGCGTGGGGTTCATATCCTCGATGACGCAGCCCTTCTGCTCCTCCTGCAACCGGCTGCGGCTCACAGCTGATGGTAACCTTAAGGTAACATTCGTTATTAATTACTTAATTATACGATTCTAAATAATTAAATTAAAAATTATAAGAGTAAACGAGCCACATAAATTCACTGAAAAGGCGAAGCGACCGCTGCCCATAGACAACCGCAATTGCAGATTCGTTGCCTATACTTAATCGCCGGAAGAGGAGACGCTCATAAAGAGGATGTGTCCAGTCTCTATCGTTAAATCCGCTTTTCCTTTCCAACCTTCCCTCTTAAGAAAAGGGTAGAAAGTAAACGGGACTAATATAGGCCTGTTTCTCTGTTGATTAAAGTTCAGCGCATGTTTAATGCGAATGTTTGGGCAGTGTTCGCTATTTTGTCGAACTCTGCTGCCGTTGTCGTTACCTTACATTATGACACTGTGTATTCGTGTGGGGGCGGGGGTAGGTGTGCCTGTTCGGGGCAGCGGAGGTGTCGCTGCGGGGTGCGGTGCGCGCGGGCGCTGACGACGCGGCGCTGGAGGCGCTGGTGCGCGCCGCGCTCCGCAACAAGAAGCCGCAGCACGCTGGTAAAATACAAACACACCTACACTTAAATATACTTCAACACTCTCACTGTCGATATTGACTAGCTGTTGCTCGCGACTTCTCACTGATAACTTTTTAATGGTTAATATATTTTTGAAATCGGCCCAGTTTTTAAGTTATTAAAGTACATATAAATGTACAATTTTCTCTTTCAAAACCGCTTAGACTAGACGTTAGTAAAGAAAAGTAACAATTTATTTTACAGCTAAACTCTTTAAATTATGAACAGCACTGTTTTATGTAATAGAAAAGGCTGATGTTAAATTACCATCAACGAAATTTTGATAATAAAAATTAAAACGAAAAGCTTTATAAAATAGATGTTAAAAACGCATGCTTTCGACAAATAAGATTTCAATAAAACATCAATGGATTCTTCACTTCATCATTACATGTTTTGCTGCTTACATCTTTTTTAATCTATATCCAATTTAGCATGATCCCTCTCCAATGCTTAGTTCCAACGGTACCTTTCAGCCACACGGGTCAAGCTGCACTGGACATCATCATTACCAGCTTACATCCTCTCACTAACTCGTAAGATCATTATTAACTTATTTGTATCATAAATGATCAATGATAGAAACAAACTCTAATGCTTCCATTATACAGAATTATAGGGGAATTAATAGGATTTTATTTAAATAATACTATTAATTCACCTTTGTTCATGAAACATGTAAATTTAATATTGTTTTAAATGTGTATTTTCGCCACGCTCGCCACCCCACTAGTGTAGTCACACGTAGAAAGCTTGTGGACATTAGTTTGTTACCTGTTACCACACGGTTCTTTGGCATGCACTCGAACTTTGAACAGCGTTGTATCGTTAGCTTTTGTAACATCCATCTGTTTGTTCGAATCAAGACTCAATGTCACATTTATTGAATACCTATTGTAAAAGTCGCTACGCAGTTCATGGGATTAACAAGTTTATTTCGTTTTTTTCGTCATTCGTCCCCGGGTGCGTTCGTAATCCATATAAAAAATTAAAAGATGAAAAGGCATTGGGAACTCTTTGCGACGCTTCCACGCGGAGCCTCCACCTTGTAATGTTTTGTAGGCATGCAGAATCTCGCGCGTATGGAGAACCGTCCAATGATACTGATAGGAGGCTAGTGGGCCCGCGAGCGGCGACGGCGCTGCGCCTCTTAGATGTGGAA